GTGCAGAGATGCGGAGGTGGGGACAAGGACCGAGCTCGGAGAGCTGAGGAACAGAGAGGAGGCCCGGGAGGCTGCAGGGCAGTGAGGCGGGGCGCAGGAGGCGAGATCGGGAAGGTTGGGGTGCTGTCCCACTGGGAACCCTCGGTGCGCCCAGCAGGCCGCCGTGGTGCTAAAACAACGGGGGCCCTGGAGTCAGATGTGCCCCATCCGGACACCAAGGCTATGAGCCCCAGGCCTTGTGATTTCCAGTAGGTCACGTGATCCCCTCGGCCTCTGTGTTCTTGCCTGGGATATGGAACTAACAGTTCTGTCTTCCTCCCAGAGTCGCCGCGAGGACCGGTGAAGATCAGTGAGAGGCATCCCCGTCAGTAAGGATGAGCTGTCCCGCCCGCCACGGCCACTCACTCCCCCATAGATTCAGCCCATCAAAGTCAACGAGCGTTGATTGCACACCCACAACAAATATGGACAGTTCCAAGACTATGCCAAGGTTCCGGTCACCAAGTTCTACAAAGAGGGAGCACCTACAACAAACCCTGATCGAACAGCACACCACTGCCACAGCCACTACAGCACCAGGCGCGTGGCGGGTGCTCCAGGCACAGCTGCTGCTGCCTTTGTGGCCGTTCCCCGTGCACAGGGTCACCCTCCTTCCTACACGCCTGGCGCCGCCAGGCCTCGAGTGGGTTTCCTCTCCCACCACCTTGGCAGCAGGCCTGTCATTCCAGACACAACGGGGCAGCTCAGAACCAGCGTGGCTCTTGCACTGAGGTCACTGTCCCCTGCCCTGGTCCCCACACCTTTATCTTCCGTGTCCAGGGCAGACTGGGGGCCCAGGAGGCTGCCCTGTCATTACAAGGCCCTTCCCACCACATTCTGATGATCCAGAGGTCACCAGTAAATGAGATGGACAAAAAGCCCTGCCCTGTGGAGTGTAACTAGCAATGCAGGAGAAAGATGATACATAAACAAGCAAATGACAGGCCCTGCCAGGTGGTGGAGATGCTATTAAAGAAAAGTACAATAGGACAAGAGGAGAGGGTGCAACAGGAATGGATGGTGATGAGGTGACAGCTGAGCAGACCTGAATCAAATGAGGGAACAAAGCACAAAGCCATCTGGGGGAAGAGTGTTCCAGACCACGGGAACAGCATGTACGAGGGCCCTGAGGAAGCAAGAAGGCAGCAAAGCACCATTGGTGGCCTGTGGTCCTTTCTGCCACTCTTCCCCTCTCCCGCCCCCTTCCTCCCGGGTTCTAGGACCAGAGCCAGATTCTCCCATGATGCACCTGGGCAGTGTCCACATCATCCTTGGCCACTGGCCAAATGTCACGTTGCTACCACAGACCTGGAACCGAATACAAGGCTGGTGTGTCTGAGCCGCTCAACTTGCCAGCTGTGTGACCGTGGTATGTCACTTCAACGCTCTGAGCCCAGGTCCTCCTCTGGGAAGAGAGGCCTTTGTCCCCTACCTGGACGGGCTGGTAAGAGGATTGTGCGAGATGATGCCCTTGAGTGGCCCAGGAAAGTGCTCAGTGCATGTGAGTCATTCTGGATGTCACTACTGGTCCTTCAGAGCAGTCAGGGAGAGGGCCAGGCTGGCCAGAGGATGGGAAGTCTCTTTCGAGGAATCGGGTTGTACCTGCTCTCATCAAAGGTGCAGAGAGTGGCAAGGAACCTGCCCAAGGTCACACAGCACGGCAGGAGACTCTACCTCCAGCTCTGCACCCCTCTCCTGACCACCCTCCTCCACCCACTCGGACCCTGCAGGGGACATTACTAGTGTCCAGAGACTCCCGCTTCAGGCTGGGTGTCCTGACGCCCCTGCTTGCCCAGCCCCAAGCCCCCCACGGGAGCCTCCAGAAGCGTCGGGCCAGCGGCCTCAGGCTCGCGGGGACAGCCGGGCCCACGGTGCCCCCTGGTGGCCGTCGCTTCCACATGGTCGTGGTTTCCTGGCACCAGCAACTGCGAGTTTCCGGGCACAACCTTCGTGAGCACCTCACTTTACAGTTTGCAAGTGTCTTTCACATCCTGCTCACAGATCCAGGAAGACAGGAAGAAGGAAGTAAGAGAAAGGAGGGAAGGAAAAGCCCAAAACAGGAAAGAATTGAAAAGCAGAATCAGGCTGACAGACAGACATTGTGGGACAAAGAAAAATATAGAAAAGCTAAGAAAGAGGAGGGAAGAGAGACAAAAAATAATCAAGAGAGAAAGAAAAATGGGAAAATAGAGAAAAGGATAAAATATTCACGACGAGCCGGGCCCAGTCCAGGAGGCAGGTAGGGGCCGGCGTCGATTGTCCAAACAGCCCCAGCCCCTGCCAGGCTCCGTCCCGACTGTGGGCACCCGGAGCCAGCCCTGGGGTCTGAGCGGGGTGGCAGGACCGGGCGGGACTAGAGCCGGGGGAACCGCCACCCCGGCACTGTGCGGTCCCTGGCGCCACCTGCTGGACAGACAGGGCTCCGCGCTTCCCCCTTGGAAGTCAAATTTTGGGGCCCTGGGGGAGACCCCAGTACCCTGGCAATGCAGCCAGGAGAGGGTGATGGCTCCCTTTCTCAAAGGAGGAAACCGACGGCCTGAGAGAGAGGGAGACGCCCTGAGAGACGGTCACACGGCGAGTGCAGAAGGCTGCCAGCTCCGGGGCAGGCGAGGGTGCCTGGCTTCAGAGGTCAGTCCGGCCTGCGGGAACGAGCACAGGTGACGGTGCACAGTGGTCAGAGGTGCCAGCTTTGGCCACAAACACATGTGGCTTGTGTTCCGGCTCTGAGAATTGCGGTCCTTCGCTGTGACCGGGCATTCACTAACGCCCGGCACTAGGCTGGACGGGCACACCGCAGACAGGCGGACGCGGTTCCTGCTCTCAAGGCGCTCTTCCTGGTGGGGGAGGGGGGTAGTAAATACATGACTAAATTTAGATAAAGTCAGAGAGCGCCCAACACACCCCATCCCGCCGCTGGCTTCCCGAGTAGCCCCTGACAGTCCACGCCAAGGGACGGCGTCTCAGCGCCACCCAACAGCTGAAGAAACCAAAGTTCAGAGGAATCCCGGTGCCCAGCTCCCTGCCCTCGTCCTGCACGGGCGCAGGCTCTGAGAGACCCACCTGCCGCAGGGCCGCACCTGTCCCTTGATTCTCCACTGCCCGGTGCAGCAACTCCTGGTCACCAGGTCCCAACTCGGCAGGCACGGCCATGGCAGCTCCAGAGCGAGGGCCTGCATGGTCGAGAGCAAGCGGGCCAGCCGCGTGGGCTGTGGGCCCTGGAGAGGTGTCCTGCCGGACGGTGGCAGCTGCCCCTCAGCTCCGGCTGGCGTGGGGCCAGGTAGGAACGTGGGTCAGTGTGACCAGAGCTCCTGATTTTCATGACAAACGAAAAATCAGACTTCAGAGGTGAATGTGCTGGTTTATAAACCAAATTTATTTTCTAAAAAAACCGACTGTATTAGGAAACGGGGGAGAGGGGGGAGCCACATCTATTTCCAAGTTTCAGCCCGGGGCCATCAGTCTGAGACGTCCTGTCTCATGTGAAAATGTCCTCTTGCTCTGAGCAGCCCTGCATGCTGGGTCTGGGACTGTGAGAAGCACATCTTGAGAGAGAGGTGGGCCCGGCTCACTCTCTCCCACTTTGCAGGCGCAGCTGAGTCTGAGAAGGGGTGCGACTTGCTCAAGGCCACAGAGAGCACGCTTCTAGGCTCTGAGCCACAGCTGCCCCGACCACTACAGGAGAACTCACTTTCTCTTTGCTGGCCCCCAGGGCGGAGAACTGGCAGCGACTGGTGCTTCCTATAAAAGCTTCTGCCTGAAGGAAGATATCAAATCCTCTCTGTTGACCCCAAATATAGATTGAGTTAGCAGCTCTTCCCTGAGAGTCATGTTCCCTGGATCCAAACACTGGCCTTGGATAATTCTAAATAATCAATCCATCACTGTGCCTGAAATCCCAGCAGGACTCACTCTTGCCTGTTACAGTATTGAGTCTTTTGAAACCTGAGATGGAAAGACACCAGGATGCCTCTCCGGGAGGGATCCAAAGGGGGATTCAGAGAATGGGACCTGGAACAGGTCACTCTGGAAGGAACGGAGACTAAAGGAGAAGGGGCTCGGAGTGAAATGGCAGGGCTGAGTGGGGTGTCGTGGCTCAGGGGTCCTCAAGGTGGCTATGACCAATAGGAGGAGGCCACCCCAAAGGCAACTTTCATGGATCTCAGTGTCTTCCAAAGTGTGAATAATAGAGAAAAGGAACTCGGGGAGAGGGAAGGGGGTTGGTAGGCACAGGTCAGACACTGCAGCCAGGGCATGAGATGTCTTTGGCTGGGCAAATAGAGCCAGGCAGCTTCATAAAGATCACCCAGCCCGGACAGCTGGCAGCCGGGGACCCAGCCAACAGGTGAGGCCATAGATTGTTGGTTCTGATTGGTCCATTTAGCGTCTGTGCTGATTGGTCCATTTATAGCCAGAATGAGTTCTGATTGGCCAGTAACCAAGACCAACCCCCCCTCATTGGGTATTTTGAATTTCATTGCTGCCCAGACCGCCATGGGCCCTGCAGGTTGGGGTGGAGGACCACAGGGTGGCATCCCTTGGACCTACCCTGACCCTCTGGCACATGTAAGACACCAAAGAGGGGGCAGGGAATTCTTGGAAAAATAGCAGTCACGTTTCCAGCCATCGTGATGAAAGGGGAGCTCAGAATCCAAAATCAAGTTGATCTGCAACCCAAAGCCCGTTATCTTCCTGGTACACCAGAATTGCAAACCGGCTGCGTGGTCTCCGGTAGTTCTCACCAATCCCTGCCAGGGAAGCTGTATTGTCCCCATTATCGAGGGGGAAACTGAGGCACGGTGTGGTAACATCAAAGGCGTACGGGCCGCTGGTTCAAGGACCCTGACAGCAGAGACCAGAACTGCACTCCTGGAGGTTTCCGAAGCACGAGTTCATCCCACCAGTGCCCCGGCCACACCCACCACCCATGCCACCCACCGCAGATCAAGCAGATTGCAGCCTCATTCTTTGTATTATAAACTGACTTTTAATAATAAAAAATCTATCATGAATTTCACGAGAAGAATCTGTACATTTAAAGTAAACCAGTGCACGAAGCCCTGGCCCTAGGGGCCCTTCTCCGTTTCCCACGACAGGCCAAAGCGGGTCCTCGTTTGTATCTGCCACAGGACACAGCGTCAAGGCCACCGCTTGCTATCCCGTATGCAGCGGCAAGAGAGGGAAGGTGGCCCCTGGGGGCTGAGGGGGCTGAGATGCTAGTGGGGCTTCAACCCCTTGGCCTTAAGTGCAGCAGGAACCCCGCACCCCGTCTCACCCACCGGACAGAACATCCCTCCCTTCTTCCTCGGTGAGGACATTTCCCGGCAGGCCCCCAGCAGCTGAGGGGTCCCTGAGCAGGTCCTTCCACCCACAAGGTGGGCAGGGTGGCTTCCTGCTCGGCGGCTGGCTGAGAAGTCCCCAATGCCCTGCTCTGAGAAGCCAACATCAAGAAAATAAGTTACAGAAGCCACCACCAGTGTGTCCCAGTGGCCCTTGTACCTGTGAGATGGCAGCTCTGGGGTAGTTCAGTCCCCTCCAGCCCCTACTCTGGCCGCCTCTCAGACCCCTGCAGACAGTCGTCAGTGACAAAGTTCTAACACGACCAACTGCTGGAGAACGAGGGTGGGCGGGAACAGGAATCACAGTCGATGCCTGTAACACCTTATGACCCTACTATTAAAAAAGAAGAAATACTGACATTTTTAAAATTTTCAATAATTTAGTTTTCTCTTCGCTTTTTTTTTTTTTTAGTAGAACTGGGAAAAGTTGTCAATGCTACTTTATGTTGGTCCCTGTTAGACAATATACCTTTCTTTGAAATTTAAAATGTCAAATATATAATCACACAACTTTAGAAAAAAAAAAAAAATCTCGACAACACCAACAACAAAAAATCCCAAAATAAACCAGAGATTTCACGCCATATAAATAAAAGTCGGAGCAATTCTCGCGCCCAGGGCTGATGGCTCCCGGGCCAGCGGCCGTGATGCGAGAAGCTGGTGTGGGTTTCGAGGGTCCTCTTGGCAGCAGGCGTGGCCCTGTCTCCATCTCTCCTGGCAGAGGCCCGGCTCTTCCGGGTCCACCAGGCAGGTTAGTACAGGGTTAGGGGTGAATCTGGAAGCTACGGGCAGGAGGAGGAGGAGGAGACACGTGTGGTCTCCTGGAATGTGGCTTAGAAGGAAACCAGGGGTTTCAAAAGTGCAGGTTGAGCCATCTCAAGGGAGCCGGGCCTGTGGGCTTCTAGCTGCGGCACCCGTCACTTTCTCGTGTCCTGGGGACTTGGAGGCAGGAGCCCAGGCCCTGGCGGCCCCGTCAGCCCTGTGGGTCTCCAGCACCCCTCTGGCTTCTGGCAGAAGGTGGAGCATGTGGCAGTCCAGGGCTGATGAGCCAGTTCGTCGAAGAGTGGGGGCCCAGGCTTGTCCTGGAGGGAGGCAGTGGAGGAACCTGGGCAGATCCTGGAGCAGGTGGCAGCAGACGCCTCGGGCCGTCTCCGGGAAGGCGGGCCCCGTGTCCTCCCAAATCCCAGCTCCAGAGGACACAGCCCCTCGTGGGGCATTTGGGTGTTCAGAGGTCCCCGTCCACCGGCGGCTGGCAGAGGCGGTAGAGGCTGGTGGGCAGAGGCAAAGTGCGTGAGCAGTGGCCTGGGCAGGCCATGGCCTACTGATGTTATTTCCACTTCTACGTGGACACGTAATCCGTGCCCAGAAAACAAAGCTCAATAGGGAGAAAAGGATGCAGAGTGAAAAATATTTATGCTGCCCACGTTCCTCCCCACAGCCAGCCTCTGCCCTCCCGAGACTGGCGAGGTGTCTGCACGTGCACACGCGTGTGTTCAGGTGTGTGTGCGGGCAGGTGCACTTTTCCACACTAGTAGTGGCCAGCTAGACACCGCACTCTGCCCCTTCCCTGGGGACCTGCATCCCCCCTGCATCACCGCATCTACCCTGGGGACCTCTGCGTGCAGCACTCGGGAGCTGCGCTGGGCCGACGCTGGGCTTCGTCGCCAAGCCAGGTGGGGCCGCTGCTGGGTTTCAAGCAGGAGAATCAATTGGGTCGGCCGTGGGGGGAGTGACAGTGTGGAGGCAGGGGGACCAAACAGGAGGCTGCCCTGGTGACAGGGGCAGGCAGGGGCACAACACAGCCCTGTGGTTAGAGTTCGGCCTTCAGGCGTAGACTGCCTGGGTTCAGCGTCCCAGCTCTGCCACTTACTAGCTGTGTGACCTTGGACAAGATACCTAACCTCTCTGTGTCCCCACCTGCTCACAGGGTGGTGATGTGGATTACGTGAGCACACAGAGGGGAAGAGACTGGAACGGTGCCGGGAGCAGTGTAAGTGCCACGAGAGTTCGCAGGACAGCCGCGTGCTCCACTGGCGAGACACACACGTGTGTGTGTGTGTGTGTGTGTGTGTGCCCCAGGGTGGCACCCAGGGCAATGCCCTGGCCTGGACGACACGCTGTGATCACGCACGACACCATCACTGGGGAAGCTGCCCGAGGGGTTCAGGGGACTCTCTGTACCATCTTTACAATTCATGTGAGTCAGTTATTTCAAAATAAAAAGTAATTTAAACCTTGTGGGAGATGTTGGTGGCAAAGCAGGGCAGTGGGGAGGGAGAGAGGAGACAGACCAGAGCGAGTTAGTGTTCCTGAAGGGGCTGCACGTGGCACCGGAGGGAGGGTTTATGACAACTCGGGGGGACGGCGGGGCAGGAGGACGGGGGAGCGGACTCCTTGTTCCAAAGACTGAGGATGGAGATGTTACCGCAAATCCCTCATCAGACGGGGCCGGGCTTCCTTGGCTAAAAGGTTAGCTGAAGCTGATCAGTTAGAATCGGAGCGTTCTCCATTTTGCCTAAGGTTAAAGGTTGCCGCTCGGGGCTCAGGGCTGGGACGGCACAGGCTGGGGGGCAAGTGGAGGGACAAAATGGCACTTGGGGACCTCGCCTCATTTTCCCAGCCAGGTGGGAGCTCCTTTGGGAGGTGACGGATGGAGTTATAGTTCTTGCTCCCCAAAATGGGGACTGAGAGGGGAACCCCATCTGAGCACCAGGGGGTCAGCCTGGAGTAAGGCCGGGAGTCTGGCGCCAAACCCGGGCCCTGGTCCTGGCTTCTGGGAGCGCAGGGGACGATGGGCAGGGCAGCCACTCACCGCGGTGCGCCCTGTGGCATCTGATCCTTGACTCGCAGGTTTTTGGCCAGAATCTCCACCCTGGGGCCCTGGAAAGAAGGAGCCATCAGGCCTGGGAGCCCTGCAAGGCGTCCGGGCACAGGGGGAACACGATGGGGAGAGGGGAGTGTGCAAATGAGAAGCCCTAGAAGCTGAAATCCAGGGCCCCCGCCAGACAGGGAGAAGGTCCAGTCTGGGGCTGAGCGCCGCGGTCCCCGGGGCCCAGGACGAGGACGGGCCGCCTCACCTGCTTGCGCATGATGTCCGTGGCCTGCATGATGCACTTGGGCAGCAGCCCGTGGCTCCGCGCCAAGACGGCCGCCTGCTCCAGGGAGACGCTCAGGGTGCTCCTGTGGCGGGGCCAGAGAGTGGGTGAGACGTGGTGGGGCCTACTTCCCGTGCCCCACGGCCTCCCGGACCCACCCCATCTCATGGCCTCGCCTCCTCCAGCTGTCTGTCTCCCGGGCAGCGACAGCCCCCCTCTCCCCGTGGCCGCTGGACCAGCTCCCTCAGCCCCTCCTCCTCCTCCAGGAAGCCACCGCCCTTCACTCCCAGGCTGTTCGTGCCTCCCTATCTGCCCCCGTCACACACAGTGCCATCCGTCACACACAGCGCCACCCGCAGGGGCTGTGCTGAGTCCTCTGGGACATTCCCAGGGCCTGGTTGGGAGGAGGCCCCGTACACATGTGCTGAGCGAGCGAACAGGGAGACTGCCGGGATACCTCGCGGCTCGGCGGCAGGGGTTGAGATGGACACAATGACACCAGGGTTCATCCCTCGCTGGGTCCCCGAACTGTTCTAGAACATGGCTCCATAGCCAGACCTCCTGGATTCAAATCCCCTCCTTCCACATAATCACTCTGTGACCCGAGAAAGATGTGCTAATCCAGTTTCCCTAACTATAAAACAGGGACCGTAACAGTGCACGGCTGGCATCGTGGGCCAGACGGGGCTGCCCAGCGCACAGTAGGACGTCAGCAGCGGTACCTCCCTCCCCCCGGCTGTGACAACCAAAAATGTCTCCAGACATCGCCAAATGCCCCTGGGGAGCAAAATCACCCTGGCTGAGAACCCCTAAAATAGGCCCTACCGCACGGGCTCCCTCAAAGGGGGAAAGGGCTAATTCGCAAGGGACATATAAAACCCAGGCACAGTGAGCACCCGCTAGGTGAGGCGTCTACTCAACAAACGTTTCTCGAGCACCTGCTGTGTGCAGGCCCCACGCTGGGTGTGGGAAACAGCGGAGAGCAGGCCAGGCCCCTGCCCTCCCAGAGCCGGCCCTGCACTGGGGGGCACAGAGAAGAAACGAACCCCCAAACGTAGGCCGTGTGTGGGTGGTGAGGGCTGCGAGGAAGGAGGGAGGGAGCGTGCGGGTGGGCAGAGGGTGCAGGTTTGAATAGGGAGGTCAGGGAAGGCCTCGCAGAGAAGGTGACATCTTCCTCCCTGGACAAGCAGTGGGGGCGAAGGACAGAGGTAGGAGCGTGTCCTGTGAGGCTCAGAGGCCGGTTCTGCCTCATAAAGACGAGCAGTTGTTACTGTTCACGTTGAAGGAAGGTTCCAGCAGAAGCACCTGCGCAACTCTGCCATCCACACTAACAGCGGGCTCAGGGAAGCTGGCAGCTCCACGGCCCTCCTGGGCCACCTGCTACTGCCGTCCCATGTCACAGACAGACAAACTGAGGTCCAGAGAGAGCTGAGGCTTTGTCTGGGCTCCACTGGCAGTGGCAGAACCAGGATTCGAACGCAGCCATCCTGCCTCCTTGCTCTGGGCCCCCCAGACCGCCCCGCGCCCTTGGCTCAGCGGTCAGCCAGCTCACCTCTGCATGCCCGTGCCACACATGGCGATCTGGCAAGCCCCCAGGCGGTAGCAGAGCTCCGAGGAGATGGGGATGAGGCCGGCGCCCAGGCTGCCCCCAGCCCCCGGCTTGGGGTGGACGAAGGACTTCATGAGGCGGCAGAGCTCGTCCAGGGCGTTGATGGGGCGTATCAGCTGCAAGGTGACCACACGCGCTGGAGGGGCAGGGGCGCCCCACCGCCCCCTCCCGCCCTTCCTCCCCCATCGCCTCCTGCTAGTCCAGCTCTCTTACTGCAGCTGCCTCCCAGCTCACCTCCCCGGGGTTTATAATCCAATCCGGCCTTCTCCAAACCCTGCTCAAGAACCACCTGTGGCTCCCTACTGCCCTACAAGCCGGCATTCAGCGTTCACTATATATTTCACGTCTAACCTTACAACCTAATTCTTTTCCCCTGCCCAGTGTGTCCCCAGCTAAGCCTAAACCAAGTACCCTCTCCTGTCCTCTCAGACCCATCGTGACCAGCTCAAGCGGCCCCTGGCCACGAAGAGCCTCGCTCTCCCGCAGCTCTCCTCATCCACCCACGTGGAGGTACAGATGGCGGTCCACTAACTTTCTGTGCCATGGTGACGTCTGCCAGCCGGTCTGAAAACTCCCAAGGGGCTGTGCCCACCACTTCTCCCCGAGCCCCCAGCCCCGAGGCCAGCACCCGAAACCAGCATGAGATTCAGGCCTGCCTGAGCCTGGGAAGCCGGGAGCAGAGACAGCTGCATCTGGCTGCGGCGCAGGGAGCTCCAGCCGCAGATGAGCCGGCGGGAGGCCCTGAAGGGCAGCTGCTGCCGGCTCAGGCCACATGCACGCTGGGGCCGTGGGCCCCGACAGCCAGGGCTCTGCATTCCTCAAGAAAAGCTGGAAGCCTCCATTTTTATGGGAAATCTTTTGACTTCTCAATGTTGGCAACAAATTCAAAACAAAGGAAAAGAGCACTGCTCGGGCCACAGCTGGCGCCGGGTCCACTACTGTGCCCTGTGCGGCTCCAGCCTGGAGAACGCTGTGCTTAACACGGGGTGGGAGCGGCACAGGTGAAAAGAAATCATCCTGGAATTCCGAGGACCGGAGGGAGCTATCCCAGGAGACTTCCTGGAGGAGGGACTGCAGGGGCCTCAGGGGTTTCTGGGCCAGGGTTCTGGCTGGGGCTGTTGGCCGAGTCCTGAGCCGAGAGCCCGCACCCTAACAAGCTTCCTGGGCGGGAGAGAGGGCAGGCTGGGCACACCTGGTCTATCTTCACCGCCGTGGTGCTGGCATCCGTGGGCAGATTAGACCGTTCCAGGTAAAAGGCCCTGTGAGAGAAAGATGGGGCTAAGGGTGGGACCCCTGTGCCTCCCCTCCTCCCCGCCCTCCCTCGCCTGGGTGACAACTGCACCACGGCGCTCTGCCCCTCCCCCTCGGACTCAGAAATAAATCCCTAAGAATGCCCTGAGGCTGCCCACGCCCACAGGAGCCTGTGCCTCCAATAGCCCCCCTCCCCAAGCAAGAAGGGGCCTCCCAGGCACTCAGATGTCCCCTGCCCCTAACTGCCAACCAGAGCAGCTCCTCCCCCTCCCCCCAATCATCCTGCCTCAGTTCTCTTCTGAGTGCCTTGCGTGGTCTGTGTTTACTGGTTTGATGTTCGCCTCCCCTTCTAGAAACAGGTTCGACAAACTTTTTCTATAAAGGGCCAAACAGTAAATATCTTAGGCTTTGTGAACTGGAGTGTCTCTATGGCAACACTGTTCAACTCTGCTGTCACAGCACAAAAGCAGCCACAGATGACACCTAAGCGTGGCTGCGTGCGAGTACAACTTTATTTAGAAAACAGGGGAGGGCCAGTGTTGACAAGCCCTGCTCCGGACACACGGCCCGGAAGAACAGGACTTTGGTCTGCTGCGCCCCAGCACACGCCAAGAGCAGGGCCTGGTCCACAGGCCCTGGTCTCAATTAACACGTGCTGAATGAACGCAGGGATGAGTGAATGATCACAGAGGCAATACTTAAAATAGTCTGCATATGGCACAGAAGAGATGGAAAGCACTGACCAAGCCAAACAGATGCCACTTTTCAAATAACTGGACTGGATGTTTTCTCTGGCAAATGAGTGACAGCATCTCTCTCCCATTTCCAAATGGCAGAATCCGGCCCGGGAGGACGAAGGCCTCGCTCACACCTCGCCTCCTGGGCTCCTGGTTCTCAGCCTGCCTTTGTCGCAGGGGAGGTGGCGAGGCAGAAGGCGGGAAGGGCGAGGGCAGCCGCAGCCGGAACTGCAGAGCCTACAGCTCTCTCCCTGGACCTGTGCTGCCTCCTGGCGAGGCCTGGCCCTGCCCTGCCTGCTTCCCCTGGGGTGGGGCTCTCCTGAGCACGGCCAAGGCCCACACCCCTCACTCACAGGCCCACGAATCCCAGGGCCCCGGCGCCAGCTCCCACCCCCACGCAGAATGGACCGGGCAGCTCCCTCCTCAGGAAGGACCCGCTTTGAAGCTCAGCCACTGCCTGGCTGTGCAACCTTGGCCATGTGTGTATGCTCTCTGGGCCTCAGTTTCCTTATCTGTAAAGTGGGTTAGAACTGCCTACCATGCAAACTGCTGTGGGAACCTCACGCAGGCAAAAGGCCTGCCACACAGCAGGCACTCGAGAAAGGGCATGTGGCTCACTCCCCACGCCAGGTGCCCGTCTGCAGCTTACACGCTAACGCCCAAGTCCTTTGGAGGTTTCCTGACTCCCACCCGCCACGTGGGCCCAGGCAGACACCTGAGCTTGCGGTAGTACTGCTGCACTTTCTCCAGCGAATTCGCATTGATCTCCTGCTGCAAATCTTCTGCGGCCTGGCTGCCTGGAGGAGGGGGCCCCTCCACATTCTCCAGGGCTGTGAGAGGGACATAGGCAGAGGAAGGTGGTCAGGCCCTGGTGTGCTTGGTGGCCTGGGCCTGTCCCCTAAGGCCCCCACCCAGATGCCCAAGGCCCACCTTTCGTGAAGAGCACCGTGTGCAGCCTCAGGCTGGCCCCGCCCTCCAGGCGGGAGGGCAGCTTGGAGAAGTGGTAGCTGTCGAGGTAGAAGATGACCTTCAGTGCCTGCCGGCTGCCCTCAATGTGGTAGAAGATGTTGGTGTCTGCGGGAAGGCAAGGGGGCCGGGGGCTCACCACTGAGGCCGGGCAGGGGCCCTGGCGCAGCCAGAACAGCTCAGGGACCCCCTGCCCCTGCTCCAGAGCGGCATCCTGGGGCCTCCCTGTCCTCCCCACCCCAGAGGGTTAGCCTCAGACCTCCCTGCCTGCCCATGCTCCAGGGGTAGCCTCAGACAAGCCTGTCCTTCCTCACTCTGACGCCTCCCTTTGCCCACTTCAACAGCTCCTGGTCTCTGAGCTTCAGAACCACGCGGAGCGCCGGTGGACTCCAGGGTTTCTGATGCCCTGGCCTGGGCGGGGCCCCGGAGTTCTCCTCTGTAACCAACGCCCAGGGACTGCTGGTGCAGGCCACACATGGGGAACCGCTGCTCCAGAGCAAAACCCACTGGTGCTCAGTCCTGCGGCACGTCCAAGTCCCCTGGAGAGCTGTCCTCAGCCCCCAGTGCCCAGGCCACCCCACAGACTGACCACAATCACTAGGCCCAGGGGCACCGGGAGCTCTGAAGAGCTGCCCACATGACTCAGTGTGCAACCGGGGCTGAGACCCACGGGGCTGGACTGTGAGCTCCGGGAGGGCAGGGACTACGGCCGAATCTCTCTCCACTGCGGCCCCAGAACCTAAAACTGCCTGACACATACTACACACTCATAGTTATGGGTGTGTAGACCGAAGGATGGGTGGGTGGGTGCATGGATGAAAGGGTGGGCAGGTGGAAGGATGGGAAGAAAGAAGGAAGAGTCTTAATTAATTATTGTATAAGCCCTTAAAAAATCTTAACAAGTCCCCCCCCAAACAAGGACATCTCCAGAGAATTTTAATAGGAATTGGGTACTGCTTGTCATTCTTAATTAAGAGCTATTAGAGACAGCTGGGCCTCTTTTTTTCCATGCATGCCCAAAGTTCAGCTTTGAGACTCATGTTGTGGACATGAGGTTTAACAGCATTGGGTGCCGGGCCACTGGGTGCTGGCCTAGAGTCAAGGGAAGGACAGGCGGACCCCAGAGCAGTCCCTGTTACCCCGGAACCCCAATTCCCACGGTGGGAGTGGAAAGAATCACTCACTAGCCACGTAGTTCTCATCCAGCTGCTTAAAGGAGAAGGTGACATTGTCCAGCTCCGACAGGGTCACCCAGATGTCCTCCAGCATGGTCCGTTCCTCCTTCTGCAGGAAGAAGACGGGGTGGGGGAGTCTCAGATGAATCTCCTGCCCTACGGTTTCACTTCCAGGCGCTGGGCTTCAACTCAAGTCAATACACCAGACTGGGGGCTGCCAGGTCCTCGTGTGAGTCCCCAGCACCCTCCCATCTCATCCCCCAAGGAGCCTTCCGGAAACCAGGTGTGAGCTATCTCCCGCCAGGCAGGCGCCGTGTGCAGCCGCCGCCAGCAGGGGGCGCTCCAGGCCCGCATGTCCCCGCAGCCCGCAGGTGGGGCCTCCAGAGTTCCCTCAAACAGTACCAGGGACACTCGGGGCCACGTAGGATACTGAGCAGCATCCCTGGCCTCTACCCCCCCCCCACCTCAGTTGTCACAGCCAAAAATGACTCCAGACATTGCCGAATGTCCCCTAGGGGATAAAAACCGCCCTTGGTTGAGAACCGCTCATCTGGACCATTTATTTCCCTTCTCTGCCCATGTTGTCTCCTCCCGCTAGGATACCAGATCCCGGGGCACAGGGACTCTGCTGTCCACTGCGGGATGCCCAGTGCCCCCAGAGCGGCACACAGCAGGTGCTCACAAATAGCCGACTAGTGGTGAGCCTGCGGGGCAGCAGCGGCGGGTGGGCCAGCAGCAGGGGTCCCCAGCCCTCCCGCCCTCCTCACTCACCACAGTGGCCGGCGAGAGCAGCGACTGCCAGTGCAGCAGGACGCCCGTGGCCGCCACCTGCTCCAGCCACTTGCGGCTGGCGTCGCGGCTGCTCTCCTCGTACTCGCCGTTGTTGTTGTAGCGGTAGCTGAGGGCCGCCAGCAGCTGCTCGGAGAAGGTGCACACGGCGGCCACCAGGGCCTGGCAGAAGATGGCGTCCCTGCGCAGCTGCAGCTCCGTGTCTGGGGGCAGAGGCGGCTCAGTGGCGGGGTGCTCCTGTGCCGTCCGCTGGCCCGCACCCCAAACCCTAGGCCTGGGGCCTCGCCGTGGGCCCCCCACCAAAGGGGCTGACTTGAGGCCAAAAATTAATCCCAGCTGCCAAAAGCCAATGCCACAAAAATCAATCCTCCTAAAGCGAGCCCATCTGCCAAAAAACTCACTTCGCTCAGTGACCCATCTGCCTGCTGAAAAACAACTTGCGATTTTCCCTAAGGCTTTCCCAAAACCCTGTGTCCTCAGCTGTTTCTCCACGTGTAACGGGATTTCTTGGCCGTGGCCAGCTGAACGCCAGTGATGATGCCAAGCTCTTCTGCCAAGCGCCACGTTTTAAGAAATGTAGCTTACCACTCTGGGTTTTAGAACTAAGCTTTCCTCCTGCCCACACCTCTCCTCTTGCCCCTGGTCCTTGACCTTGAGCAGAAATGGTCTGCAGAAATGGCCAATTTCAGGCAATTGGTCTTTCAGACTCTCAATCTTCAGAAGGAATTATTTTCAACTGGCTTCTGGCCAACAGGGTTTTAGTGACCAATTTTGACCTAGATCCTATTGTAGCTCCCTCTTGAGAATTTCTAGAAAGAAGGGGGGACAGACAAGGTCCCTAAGACACCTCAGCCCACCTTCCCCTGTTCCTCTTCCCCATGTGCTGGGTGGGAAGTCTCCAGGCTGGGGCTGAGGGCTCTAATGGCAAAAAGCCTCTCTATCCCCTGTCCTGGTCAGTATCCACCCAAGCCTGGAAGGTGGTAAAGACAGGGCTCCGGGCTCCAGAGCCCTGGGACCCGCCCCTAGGACACAAGAAAAAGAAGCAAGGTTCAAGTAGATCTTGGAGGGGCTACAGGCCAAAGTGTTGTTCCCACTGTCCAGACCCTACAGACCAGGGACCCTCAAACCTGGCTGGTAGAAGGGGCCTCCGCCAGGCTGTGGGAGCAGCACCCACTGCCAGGACGGCCTCTCCTGGATACACCTGGCTGTGCACCTCACGTGCCTTCAAGCCCTCACCTGTGCATTTCAGCAAGGCCAGGAGTAGCTGGTTCTTCCCATCTGGAAGGAGAAGGGGCAGAGACAGGTGGATGGGCTGGGAGGAGTTAGCAGAAGTGAGAGCAGAGAGCTGCCCCCAGCCCAGGGGCTCTGACCCGTCACAGCGAAGCCCTGGGTAGGGAAGTTATGCTCAAGAAGCTTTTCCTGAATGTTGAGTGAACTCCCGAAACCCTGTACATGCAGGGAATGAACCCCAGCTGTCAGACTTACCTGTTTACATGCACACAGCAGACAGAGACTAAACCAGCCCTTTAACCCCTGGGCCACAGCCCCTGCCCTACACCCTGCACACACGTGTGGGCACACACTCACATGCACACACACAAACAGGTACACGTGCACTCACAGACACACTCATATGTCAACAGACACACATGCAGGCACGCCACACACAGGCAGACACACACTCATACATAGCCTCACATGTATGCGCATTCCAGACAGTCACTGCCCCACACATGCAGAAAAAGCTCATTTCTGCCAGAGAAAAAGGTCTCTTTACTTTAAAAAGATGCTCTTGGGCCCAGAAAGAGCTTAAAAGAAAAATCTGAAAGGCCTTTGAATTTAGCTTCTCCAGGTACTTTCTTCCCTAGAGAGGCACGTCAGACTCAGGGCTAGGCATGGGCTGATGACAGCAGCTGCTGAGCCTGGACTGCTGGGGACCCACTGTGTGCTGGCCAGGCTGAGACCCACTGTGCCCAAGCAGTGAACTAAGTGCTCAATCTGTACTGACTCATTTAATCCTCACAACAACATGTGAGGGAGGTAGCCCTGTGAGCCCATTGTACATATGAATAAACTAAGGCCCAGGGAAGGCAAGGAATTTGCCAAGGTCCCACAGCCAATAGGTGGGTGGGCTGGGACTCAAGCCCTGGCGATCCGGCTCCAGAGTCCACACTCTTAACTAATTGTAGTTGGGGAAAACAGGCCAGCTCAGGCCAGCAGAGACTTGAAACTCAGAGGCCACTGTCTCCGGAGGAACGGCCGGAGCCCTTGTACTTGCTCTCCTGGCCTAAGGTCCCCCTGGCCTGGATCCTTCTAACCCGGGAGTCTCAGATCAGATGCCGGCAAGGGCCAGGCAGGTGACGGCAGATGCACGGAGGACCGAGGTGAATTGGAAAGCACCCCTGGATCTGTAGAGAGCAGCTGCCACTCATCGCCAGCAGAGTGGGGATACGGGACTGTGGGCCTGGTGTCACCAGATCTTCTGGTTGGCCAAGAGTAGCCAAAAATCTAGATTTTTATGTGATATCTCTCAGTGTAAACACTAGCAGTAGATTCATATTTTTTAATGCTGCAGCATCAAAACCTATCTGTAGGCCCAAATGTGGTCAGTAGACTGGCCAGCTCGTGACCCTGATGATACCGAGGCTGCGCAGGACAGATGCTTGGCTGAGAAGGGCACCGCTCCTCTTGTCCCTTCCCTGGGCATGGAGAGACATGGGACACAGAGCGGGACCCATTCCTGAACCCTCCACATTCCACATGCAGAACCCAAGGCCACAGAACACCCCCCACATCCTCCCAGCCCTGACCTTCCACGTGTCTCTGGATGTTGTCCACCAGGGTCTTGATGGAGTTGGGGAGGTTCCAGGGGTCCTCCTGGATGCTGATCTGGATCAAGCTCCGGCCACGGATCGTACACTCTTCTTTCTGTTTGAACTCTGGGGCAGGGAAGTGGCGTGAGGGCCAGGGAAGGGATGGAGGCAGCTTTGGAGAACGGTGGCACAAAGGCCTTTGTCCCATCAGATTCCAAAGCTCATAATCCTAGGTCAAGGGAGCCGGCAGGACTCCCAGGTGTCATCTGGTCCGTAGAGGGCAAACACGCCATGAGTGTGCTGCTACTTCATGGCACCGTGCCCATGGCAGACACCAGTAATCAGTCCTAGGACTCCTTCCTGCTGGTCTGAGGCCGGGACTTTGCACAGCTACAGCAAGCCAGCACAGACCCCACAGGTCAGTCCCGGCTTTCTCTTCTCCCAAGCCTGGTGCCGAGCCACAGAAGGATGCTCAGGTGCTACCTCCTCACAGCCACAACCAATCGAGCCGGCACGTGAGTTGTGGCCCAGTCTAGCCCTGTCCCTACACAGAGGAGGAAGCCCAGGCACAGAGTGGGAAAGTGACTTGCACAGAGTTACACAGCTGGGTAGTGACACAGCTCAGATTTGACTCTGGTCCCAGCAAGATGACTCAAAAGCTATGCAGACACTGGCCCCTGTTCCTTTGGCCTCTTCCCTGCTACAGTGCCCGAGTTTCTGAGATAGCTGTGGTTTTAACTCTTCCAGGTTTGCTGTTTCTGCTTTCTGAGGTCCACCCCTGAGAGATGATTCTAAGACAGCAGGACGGGCAGTTCAGCTGGGGGTGCCCCAACTCCTTACCACTTCCTGCCCTTACTTAGGGGCAACTACCTGCCTGCATTCCTCTCTCCTACACTCTGAGAGCTCCTGAGGTCAGGGCAGTGTCAGAGTCATCTCAGGGTCCCCAGTGCCCAGCACAAGGCCTGCCAAAAGCTGGTTCTCAGGAATTACTTACTGGATGTATAGATGCATGGATGAGAAGGTGGGTGGATAGGCAGGTAGAGAGATGAGTGAATGGATGCTTGGTTGGATGGATGGATGGATGGATGGATGGATGGATGGATGGATGGATGTGTGGAAAGATAAGTGGGTGGATGGATGGATAAGTGGGTGGATGGGTGGATGTATGGATGAGTAGGTGGGTGGATGGATGGATGGATGAGGGGGTGAATGGGTGGATGGACTGATTTGGCCCATGGGGACGAGCCCACAGCCATTCAGCAAGAGAGGGACAGAGCTGCACGTGCCAGGCGTCCTGCCCTGGTCCAGCACCCTTCCCTGTCACAGGCTGTCCTGTCTCCCTACGGACGCCGGAGCCTGCTCACCTTGCAAGCTGTGGTCCATGGGGAAATGCTTGGTCTCTTCGAAAGCTCTGCTCATCACTGGCCCCTTGAGGAGCGCGTTGATGGAGTCCACCTGGGCAGCAAGAGGCTCTGGGTCAGCGTGGGCCTCGTGGCCCTCCGCATTGCAGGGACCTGTGACTCCCAGCCCCTGCTCCAGCCCCTGGGTCATAGGATCTCACCAGGGGGAACAGAAGGAACCAAAGGTCACACAGGGTGGGGCAAACGTCCCACCTGGTTAAAGAGATGCTCCAGGCAGCCGTGAAGCTTGTCCTGCTTGTCCGACGGGATCCGCATGTCACAGGGCAGCTCATCCCCTGCGGGACAGAGAAGCCACGGCCATCAGCCAGCCATGCCCCAGCCCCATCTCCTAACCTTTCCCAGGAGGGCAACGCAGCCACAGAGCTCCAAACCCACGGGGTTCTGGAGTCTGAAGATGCGGGTCCTGTCTGCAAGTCACCAGGCAAATCACCTGACCTCTCCGAGCCTCGGTTTCTTCATCTGCGAAATGAGCAACAGGCACTCAAGCATTACAAGACCGTAAGGCACAGGCATTGTGTCCATTCTGCAAATGAGGACACTGAGAAGCAGAGAGAAGGACCTGGACCCGAGGCTCCCGGTGCATCGCCCAGCCGGTTCTCGGTGACATCGGCGGCCACACAGGCCGGCTCCTTCCCTGCACCTCCCCGGGACCGTGTCTGCGGTTGAGCATCTTACGTGATGAAACAGTTATCTAAAGTTCAATATCTTCCATTTTACTTACATTTCTTTTTCTTCTGTTAAATTCAAGCATAATTAAACTTAAATTTTTTAAGCACAAACTACCTCTGGAAGGACACACAAGACAACAGTGACAGTGGGGACAGTGGTGACAGCCTGAGAACCAGGAGGCTGGAGCACGGGGCAGTGAGGAGACTTGTCCCCCACCATGCCCCCTTCGTGCCTTTTGCATCATGAAGCCTGTGAGCACACGACCCACTCAAAATGAATGTTTTTAGAAGTCTGAAGTGAATAAGATTAAAAAACAAATTTTAGGCTTTCAGTAAAAGTTGCAAGTAGAGTATGATCTAATTTATAAACTTGTATTTGTGTCTGTCCTTCCAGCCATCCACCATCCACCCACGTGTCCATCTCACCGATGACAGCTCCAAATACAGGCCACGGTCATTTCTGAGGGAGATGGGGAGATTCTGATTTATTTTTATATACTACGTTTGAACC